CTAACTTCAACTAATCCATGAAACTGCGCCACCATACACCATGTTTTCCATGGTGGTCTAGCTTCAATTGACACATGATTTCAACTATTGAAATCACTAAAATCTCCACAAAAGCCCTTCTGATAATAATCATCTGCTCACTAGTGACTGGCTTCAAGAGGCATTTCCTGGAGTTCTAGTGAGAAGCAGTGACCAGTGGAGTTCAACCAGGTCTGTGTGAGATACCAAATCACTGAAGACACTGATGTACGGTGGCGCAATTTCTTGAATTCGTTGAAGTTAGACATTAACACTGTTGCATGCTGACCGACTCAGTGGTCTAGAGGTTAAGCGTACACGCGCGAGACCGATAGGTTCTAGGTTCGAATTCGGTGGGGCGGGGTCGTGGATGCACACTGCTGAGGAGTCACATAATAGGATGAAATGGCCGTGTAGTGCTTTCAGGTTTTTCATAGTGGTCTAGCTTCAACAGACTCATAATCTCAACTATTAAATTACTATAATACCCACAAAAACCCCTTTCTGATATAAACAGAAAATACTTAGTAGAGTGATTTTTTTTAGAAAAATGAACATATTTGAATTAATTTTTTTCTGTTTGGATACTCTCACATACAAAAACTTTATGAAGCTCTCTAAAATGAAAAAAACCATCATACATGAATGCAAAATTAATCTAGAATTTGTAAAGATATTTTTTTCTTAGAACGATTTTATAATCACAATGTATACTATGGATGTGAAAGGTGGCTTGCTGACATAAAAAGAAAAACAATTCAGGGAAAACTTGAGGACTATTTTGAAACTCTATAATTAAACATACTTCATACGAGATTCCATTATGTGTTATAAAATCTAATGACAAAGTTAAATCACATAGTCATCATCTAATGATTACAATGATCAATTACTGTTAATTAACAATATAGCTTGACATTTGTTTGATGTCATTATCAGTGATAACTATTCGGCTATCAACGTGATTAAATCTAATTAGATACAACTTTTTACCAAAAAGTCAAGCATACACCTACTGTTCCCAGGGTGGGATAAGTAGAATCTACAATTTTTTTTATTATATTATCATCGAAAGGTGTATGAAATATAAATTACGAAATTAAAGTTTAGACTTTTATTAAGTTTAACTTTACCTGCAGAATAAGCAACATTCAGTGAAACTAAGTAGTATTATAGAAATTTCTCATAAATTACAGATGGTTTACTTCATAAACCTATGTAAATGAATCATAATCGTGTGAAACGATTTTGTAAACCAATACATTTATTTTATGAAAAGGATTTTCAACAAAACCAATGATCAAGTATATTAAAAGCCACTGTCGTTAACAGTGTTGTTTAAAGACGATCTTTGACAAGATCTGAGATCTCTAAATTTAACTAATCTTCACAAATCACCTATCTACTTGTGATCAGATGGTTGTCATTAATTTACTTACTTACGCCTGTTACTCCCAATGGAGCATAGGCCACCAACCAGCATTGTCCAACCCACTCTGTCCTGAGCATGCTTCTCTAGTTCTATCGATTTATTGTTCATTCTTCTCATATCTGCCTCCATTTCTTGGTGTAGTGTGTTCTTTGGTCTTCCTCTCTTCCTTTGACCTTGAGGATTCCATGTGAGGGCTTACCTTGTGACGCACTTGAAAAATACAAACTAAAATTCTAATGAAATATTCATGATTAAATAGTATCAAGTGTATCGGCAGTGAAACGGTTAAAACCGACTGTACCAGCTATTTGTCGCATCATTATCATGATTAATATGAAATCGAATGTTTTCCTAGCTTTAGGAGCTAATGTTTCTGAATTCTGTCTAATTTGAATTTGTGTAAATAAACTATTGAGAATTTCCCAAGACAAACACTACCATGTATTGCTAACTGATTTCCAATAACTATCCAGCTGACAGTATTTAATCCCGATAAATCATAAATTACAACAATTTCCTACTACCCATCAATACTTATCATCATTAAAGTTTATGATTTATAAGACGTTTTTCGCCTTTAAACATTTCTTTAGGTCTATTTTACGAGAAAAAAATGTAATATTATCATAACAATAAACAAACTTTTTGCATAAATACAGATAAACAGTAACACCTTTCATTGAAACTATTACTGGATAGAAGTAAAAGCTGTTGTTGTGTTTTTTTCCCTATTTCATTAGTCTGTATAATCATAATTTTCAAAGTTCAACTTTTTTCATAATGATAAGAAAAACAAATGGTAATTTATGACTGATTGCTTATTTTTTTTCAAAAATTACATCATCATGTAAACAGAAAGAAGGAAGTTATTGTACATACGAACAAAATATTTGGAAACCGATGAAAATGTGTAGTCGGAATTGTTTACATATTATACTATACTATACTAATTATAATGAAGAATTTTAACCTTTAATCATATTATTAAGAGGTTGATTGTGTTTTTCATATGATCATGAATGTAAACTACATTGCTACGAAAGTTTGTATTATGATGTGTCTATATGTAATATAATAATCTTTTATATTATAGTACTGAAGAGTATGGAAAAATGAATCAATTCTATTTTCATAATTAAAGTAACCAATAGGTTATATGGTGATCAGAAGAGATTTTCTGGTGTTAATAAAAGCACAAGAAATAATATATTGGTTGAGGGAATTCTATAAAAAGGTTGAATGAGTTAGTTGAAAGAAAAAGTATACGGATCAAGAAACGTACTCATTTTTATATCTGAATGTATGTTCTTTCAAAATAAACATTGAATATTCCATTCACAGGATAAGAGTTTTCTCAAAATAATGTAGAAAATGACATGATAAAACTAAGTAGAATGTTAGTATAAGATGGATATATCTTATATTTCATAAGATAGAAAATCACTTATATAATGAGTTAGAAAACGTTCGAATAAAGACTAAATATGGGAAGTAATAGTTTGAAATATTTTAAGTTATCAGTTAAACAGATACTTCACATGGCAACTCATTAAATCTGTGTTACTTATTTGTATTTCACTGGGATTAATTTTAAAACAAATATACAAGATGAAGTTAATGATGATCGAGTGATCAATTCTTAAACATCACTTTTATTATTATTCTATATCTGAGAAAGTGAGCATGTAGATTAGGTGGGTTATGTGACTTTATAATAAAGATGATTATATCTATTGGGTTTGTATTTGCTTTAAACTTGGATATTTCGTTTGATTATTAGCTTAGACTCATAGGATTTGATGAGAATTAATTAGAAAAAATATTCTGCTTTTATATGTTTATATAATTAGTGAAAAGGTGTGGAAGAAATTAAGGAGCTTTGGAGCTTCTCTATCTGTTCAGTAGTCAGATTTTAGGCAGTAGATTTTATCACAAGGCGATATTAAACAAAGAATTATTGAAAACCAGATATTATTGAACGGTCTATAGTGAAAACTATCTTGAAGTTGAGTCAATGTTCTAAAATTTCTTACTTTGATAAAAATCACATCCTTACTGGTGACGTACATTAAAATGAACGCCTGGAGTTCCAGTGAGAGGTCAATGGGGGTGACGTTTGCCTAAGAAGTGAGGTGCGATGGTTATCAATTAGTTGCATTGAATTTCTTGCTAAATCATGAGCTGGCGGAAATTAGAATTAGTTAGTCATAAGTAAAGTAGAACCTGAAATAAATGTGCCTCCATTTGGAGCAATGACGTCAAATTAGCATGATGAACAGTAAAAGGATAAAAGTAATTATAGTATCAGCGTTAGTGACGAAGACTATTTTGAGTAAATAGCCATTCAACACTAACTTATTTACAGTGTATTACCTGGTGATGTCAGTTAACTTAAAAACGTTTTGTAAACCACTTACCTTCATTGAACTTTCATCTTATTCTTTTCCAATTAACATTTTTTGAGGTTATCATAATGTTCAAATACAATTAATTACGTTTTTTCTAACATCTACCCTAAAATGTTTTTTACCATATTGACTCATTCTTGAGTAGTGTACTTGTGTCGAAAAATTGGGAAGTTCTTTTAGTTTATTCTGCAGAGATAAAAGTCATTATCGAGGATGTGGCTCCTTCGAATATGTGAAATACCCTTCACGGGTATTACATTTTAATTCAGGATTTTACCAGTAATCTTAACCATCAAATAATTAAATCTATGTGTACAAGTCAACTGTCAAAAAATTAAACATTGCAATGGGATGTAATCCTCTACTAAAGTGAACAAACGTGAGGCGGTGTATGAAGCTAGTTCACAGGAAACCCTGGACATAGGCTTCGTGCTATTCGATACCTGTCAGCTAGATATACCTGTAATCTTGAGTAAACTGATTCTCCACGGTGGATTATATCTTTTGTCAACAACTTCACAATCAGAAACGTTACCGCTGAGCTATATGGGCTGCCAGAGAGTATCATTTTTCTCATTAATAAAGATAAACCTTGCTAAGAGGTGTCCAATAGCACAATACCTAGGGCTAGAGTTTCCTGTAAACCACCTTCAACCAATACCTTGAATTTCAACTTAGTGCACGTGATTTCGAGCCAATTAGACTAGTGTTAACATTGCAACTTGATTAATAAAATTCGACTAGCATTAAGATGAACTTGACATATATGACATTGGTCATTATTCAGTGATCAATCAATAATGAAAATGAACAAAGGTTTATACTCAAATCTCTTTAATAGTATATGAAATATAGAAAAATAGAGGGAAAAATCATTAGATTTCATTATAAATGTTTACATTTGTACATTAGCTTGTATATTAATTAATATTGTAATTAGATTCAATGATGTATTAGGTCGTTGTTTTTGTACATGATTAATTCTAATGTCAATTTAATTGAAAATCACAGTTGAATACAATTTTTGATTTACTTATTTAAGTAAACAAAATTGGATTATACTAGTTATGGGAATATATACGTTAAGATTAGAAATTGTCCTTTGGACGCCAATTCTGTAATTTGAAAAGATAGGAGAAAAAATGGTGGACAAGAAGGAAATTTTCAACTTTTATTATGTTACTTATCAACAATATTATAATGATCATTTTCATCAGCTTAGTTTTAAAGTAAACATTATGGGCAATATAAATTATGTATTTGTCTATTAAATATATTGAATGGATCCAATGAAAACTTTATTTATACAAACCTATTTTATTTAATTTACATTTGAAAAAAAAAATGGGAAAAACTAGGTTATCAGCATTTACAATGGAAAGTGAATTGATTAGTCAAATGATTTTGGAATGAATGCTCGAAATTATTGTGGAAAGTCATGAATGTTGAGGTTTAGGAGTATTAAGAGTGGGTTAGTCTTCGTTGATGGAGATAAACGATCATTGCTATTTAAGATAAATCCACTGCAGTTGGCAATGTAATTTATCGAATTCTAACCCAATGATGAAGACCGGGAGGGCTAATCACCTGATTAAGAAAACGAGAAGATACAAATTAGAGGTGCTCGGAATAAGTATTACTCATTGGATCTAAACTAAACAGAAAATATTAGATTCAAGAGAGATGCTGCTGTACTCTGGTCACGAAGAATAAAGTGCTTTACACGCTCAGGAAGTTGTTTTATTGCTGTCCAAAGGGGCCAGAAAAGCACATATAGGACGGAAATTTCATGGATCCAAATCATCAAAGAATTACTCAAAATAGGGAAGGAGGAGATTGCAATTATTGTTTCCGCTGCTGTGCACTCACCAACGATAGCAGTCAAGAGGATAAATATCAGTTTTACTGGAGACTGCAGTAGATCGTAGGGAATTGAGCAGGAAAAATCTCGACTATCATGATGGGAGAACTAAACACTAAAGTGGGAATGGACAACACTGGTTATGAAGATGCCATGGGATGACGTGGATTAAGAGAAGTGACCGACAATGGTTAGAGATTCGTGAACTTATGTTCACTCAACAAAATAGCTATAGTTGTCATAATATTCTCCCACAAACGCATAAACAATGCTACATACCTCTAACCGGATCACTCCACGGAGAACCAGATCGACCATATTTGTATCACTAGGACATTCAGAAGGACAATAGATGATGTGAGAACAAGGAGAGGAGGTAACGTAGCTTCAGATCATCACTACCTTGTGGTTGCCGAGATGAAATCGAAGCTGAAGAAGCACCGGACGACTAAAGAAACAGCATTCAAAAGGTTCAATACAGCCTTACACATACTGACAAACTCAACGAATTCAAGATAACTCAACAACAGGCTCCAAGACCTACAGGATCTGCTGAAAGAGGAAGAAACTACTATGGAGGACAAATGGAATGGGAATAAAGGAGCACTAACTTCAACGTGTCAGGAGATTCTGGGCCTCAAGAAGCATCAACCCTGAAAATGACCCAAAAACGGACGAACAAGAAGACATCATTTAATGACAGCCAAACACGAGCAGAGTATGTCAAGTCACAAATCTGAATACATAGAAGCAGACAAGCTACTGGAGAAGAGCATTAAAGCTAGCAAGTGGGAATACATAGAAGACCTATCGACGACAAAGGAAAGAAGTGCAAAGGAAGGAAATATGAAACAACCATATGGCACGACGAAGAAACTGGCAGAGAAATATAGTAAACCAAAGCAATTTATCAAAAACAAAGAAGGCAAACCAATCACTGAGATTCAAAAACAGAGGAACAGATGGATAGAACACTTTTTGGAACTCTTGAATAGGTCAGTTCCATTGAATCCACCGGACATCGAAGCAGCACACACAGACCTTTCTATAGATGTCATTTCACCAACGACTGACGAAGTCAGGATGGCCATCAAAGAAATCAAAAAGTGGGAAAGCAGCAGGACCTGACAATATGCCGGCTGAAGCACTGAAGTCAAACATAGAAGTAACTACAATTATGCTCCACGTTCTATTCGGAAAGACTTAGGAAAAAGAACAAACTTTGACAGAATGGAAATATGGATTTCTCACTAACGTACAAAACAAAGCAGATCTCAGCAAGTGCGAATACAACAGAGACATCATACTATTATCAGTATCAGGAAAAGTTTTTGACAGAGTGTTGCTGAATATGATGAAAGACTCAGTAGACACCCAACTTCGAAATCAACAGGTCGGATTTCGTAAGGATGGGTAGTGCACAAACCAATTTTCAACACTATGGATCATAGCTGAACAACTTGTCACCATACATCAACTTCCTTGATTATGAGATGGTGTTTGACAGCGTTGGCAGAACCTCTTGGAATCCTCTTTGACACTATGGAGTGATTAGCTGATAAAATCGTCAACACCATCCGGAATTCGTACGAAGGACTAGAGTGCGAAGTAGTACATGGAGGACAGATGACAGGTGAATTCCAAGTGAGGACAGGTGTCATTTTTGCTTAATATCTCCCTTTCTCTTTCTTCTGGTGGTTGAACTTTCTAACATTATGAAGTTATGTATTTACATCTGTTTTAAAATAAGTGTTAATATTGCTTTCAGACAGTAATCAAACGAAGAGGACTTATTCAACAAATGAATTCACAACTTATTTATTCATTTTATTCGCTTCGATTATATTTGTAAATAACGGAAACTGTACGAGGTTGTACCATGATTTTAAGTTGAATCAATATAATTTAAATACTCAAGTAACCAAATATTTTAACAACTGATGAGAATCAAACTTAGTTAATCAGGAATTATGATCACATATTTAGTTGATCAGTTAATTTTCTTAACTATTATCTTATGGTCAGTTGTTTTATCAAATAAAATGATTCATTCTGAACGTTAATCTTATTGGAATAATCACTTGGGTACTTATGGGAGTTTACAAACTAACATATTTGTCAAAATTATTTGTTGTTTACTTATTAGTATCATAAATAGTGTTATCAGTATTACTTCTGCTACTAAGTTAAAGATTAACTGATCTTCCGTTCAGTCAAGATTGTTGAAATATGTCTTGTTTTTTTAAAAAAAAGAAAGTGTAGAAAGAAAAGAAAAGCTGATCAAACATTGTTGTTGTAGTTATTCCATTGATTTTCAGTATAAGGGTTGATGGACATTGTTAATTATTATCAATATCACAAATCAACTTACATTAGACAATCATTGAAAATCCAGATTTATTCTCATGTGCTTTCAATGTCGATTGTTTGTTTATTTTAAACGTTTTTGCTAAATGTTCTATCCGGTATTTCTCATAAGATAATAACACAAATCACAACTACTGAATATGATGATGATGATGATGATGATGATGATGATGATGATGATGATGATGATGATGATGATGATGATGATGATGATGATGATGATGATGATGATGATGATGATGATGATGATGATGATGATGATGATGATGATGATGATGATGATGATGATGATGATGATGATGATGATGATGATGATGATGATGATGATGATGATGATGATGATGAACATGATGATTTACCATCAAATCAGTGATCTTATTTTTCTTAAAGAGAGGGGAAGCTTTTCATCTTGGAAAAACATTTATCAAGTGTACAAAATCCATGTATTTATCATTATCATCATTTTTTTGTTTGTTTAAGCTAAAAAATAAATGAACATCAGATTTAAAATTGAACATAATTTTAACGTATATCTGTATAGTTGTGTAACACTGAATAACGATGAACAAGTTTTCTTTTGATTTATAGAAATCTATTTTCTGGAAATCATTGATTAGTTGTTTAAAAGTTATAAGAATGATATATAGGTCGCTTTTTCACTTATTCAAATCAATATTTTAAATGATGCTTTTATGTTGGAACATGATTGTTATCTGTCGTAGTTACCAATATTTGAAGTTTTAAGTGTTAAATTTTCTGAATTGACGCAATTAATTACAAGGTATCATTTCTATTCTGAAGGACCAAGATCATGGCTTAATATGTGAAAAAGTACTGACCATGGAATAAACATTATACAAGTGGTACGCTTCTGTTTTATGGACTGTAGTGGTTAAATAATGAGAAAAACTCAAATAATGATAAACATATTTCATGCAATTTAATTCAAGATATTTATAATTGATGAATGAGTTAAAAAAATTTTATATATGCAAAACATTAAGAACATTCCTACAGTTGAAGAACATATGGAACTCAAAACAACTGTTAATCGATATCAAAGTCAGAATATTTAATACGAACGTCAAGACAGTTCTACTGTATGGAGCTAAAACTTCGAGAACTACCACAATCATCATCAAAAATGTGCAGGTATTTATAAACAATTGTCTACGTAAGATACTAAATGTCCGTTTGCCGGAAACCATCAGCAACAGCCTGATGTGGGAGAGAACAAACCAGCTTATAGTTGAAGAAGAAATTAGGAAAAGACGTTAGAAGTGAATAAAACACACATTGAGGGAATCATCAAACTGCATCACGAGGCAAGCGCTAACTTGGAATTCTGAAGGGGAACGAGAAAGAGGGAAGCCAAAGAACGCATTACGTCGAGAATTGGAAGCAGATATTGATAGCATCTGCAAAGAACTGGAAAGGATTTCCCATGACAGAGTTGGATGGAGAATGTTGGTGAGCGGTTTATGCTTCTCCATAAGGGGTAACAGGCTCAAGTACAGTCTGTATAACATAACATTGTTCACACAGTTTGATTGTTGGAAATGTGGGTAATGACCGATATATTTCAGATTCGTCAAAACGTCTTGGTCTGATTTATTTCTAATGCTTTCTTATCAGTCAAGGAATCTCTTCTTGTTCATGATATATTAAATATCCCAAAGCCAAGTCATTTATACAGACATAGATCAAACTCGTAGTAGTTACACGTAATCGTGAATAGACTGGTGCCTACAAACTAGGTCAAGAAAATTCTGATGTTTTTGACAAAATCTGTCTCGTGAAAATACATAAAGTCTTCAAGTTCTATTCAATACTCTATCAGCAGGAAGTTTAATGTTCCACGTTTTCAGAAAGTGTCATACATAATTAACAAAATATCCAAATTGATGTTTTCCAATTATCATTTAATAGCTACTGTTGTTGTTCACGAAGTCATATGAAGATTAAATAAAAGTATTATGTCACGATTATTTCAATACAAAAAGTCTCCACTATTTATTATACAGATAACAAAAAAATAAGTGAATTAGCAGTAGTGGTACACAAATGTTTTGATGTACTGGAAGAAAGCGACTTAATGGAAGTCTGTTCTATATTATTTCAGCTGATTGATTGTGGGTAATAATTCACTTCTGAAACAGTACTTTCCTTAACAGGTTGACATCAGCTGGGAACCATGACATACTGTGCAGTTGTTTTGTTAAATTCCTTAAATCCTCACTGGTATTCACCTAAGACCTCGATCAAGAATTAAATTCAGGACACTAAGATTGCATGATGAATTGATTAATTAATAACAATAAGCAGTGTTACAGATGTAAACTTTAACCAGTTTATGAAATAACGCAGCAAACATTTACTGTCATCGGAGATATTCATCTCAGTTTTTTGCTTTTTTTAACTCTACTAATAACGACTACCAACTAAAAGTTAGGAAATGTATATTTACTTACGTAGGAAATAGTGCGACTAGTCTTTGAGTATAGAAGTGAGTGATCAGGTCAATACAAAAACTGTAGATGGAAAATATCTAATGAATTAATGTTTATATAAGTGAATTAATCTCAAGAAATTTAAAATAATTAAGGAGATCCTTAAGTGGATCCTTCAATACTTAGAAAAGTACATTATTTGATACTCCTCATATACCGATGTCATTCAATGAACCTATGTCAAACAGACCAGTCTTTAATAGATACAAAACATCAAACAAAGTTAAATGAATACATTAAACGGTATTTTAATGAGTATCTTAGGTAATATTTATTTTGTGAAAAGTCAATTCTGTAAGAAGCTTTATAAAAATATCAACTTTTGTGAGTCATTGTAGTTTAGCATTCTTGTCTTGTATTGATGTCAGCTATAGTTTAGTCAACGCAACTGTCTTGTGTTGATTATTCTGTCTTTTTTTTATATAGACATAGATTCATATAACAATTTAATATTGCACTATAATTGTTTATCTCTTGTATTTCCTTTGATAATATGCATATAGTTTGATTAGATCTTTTTATCACTTGAATTGTATATTTGACTAGTCACTTTTATTAATTAATCATTGAAACTAAAAAAGTTAATGTTTCGTTCCGGTTAGTATTTATTGTTCATCAGATCGGTAAATGTTAGATAATCACTGAACTATTTTGAAAGTCAAGATTGTATTCAGCATGTATGTAAATACGATTGTGATTACTTGTAGTAGAATTGGCAAACATTTTCAAGTTGTTTGTTTAGATAGCTGAAATAAAATTTTACAGTCTATATATTTAAAAAATACAAGCAGTAAATAATAAGGAACGTTCGTTAGGAATTTATGACTGATGTAGTTTGCCTATATAGACAGCCATTACTAACGGTATTGAATGATTGAAACATCGTGTTGCGAGTTGAATAATAATGCAGCACATATTATTCTACTTAAACAATGTTTAAGGGTATAAGTGTATGTAGCATCGGATTCACATAATACACATGCCTGAACCAAATACCTGTAAAACCTTAAATGTGTTTAAAGAATACTATGTTTTTCAGGTTTATAGTGTTGATCGAATTTTGTCGATAAAGTTTCAATATGTTTCCTAGTCTGAGAGTTAGAATCCTTACAGCTTCCTGCCCTTATTTGCTGACAGGCATCAACTAGTAAGAAACCTAAGTTCAGAGTTTTTTACCAACTGTTATCTGAGTGTTGTTTACGAGATATTGGATCACTTAATCTAGTGGCCAAGGCACAGCTTTATTGATAGAATTCAATTAGCACTGATGGAATAGATAGATATAATATCAGTAACTACTCAGTAATCAATCAACCATAATAGAGGTAAAATATATAAAAAACTTTAATATTTATAATAATCGAAAAAGCATACCAAAAATGGAAGCTAGTGGAGATAATTACACTAAAATATCTTAAATTAGCATGAAAAGTAAAGGAATTAAGTTTGACACAAGAGACTAGTTAAAATAAATAAATTGTTGTACAACCATGTAATTAAAAGAACAGCACACCAACAATATCAATAATATTATTACAAGACCGAGACTGTTAGCAATTTTGTCTTCGTCAAGGATATCCGGCTGATTATTTATACGATTTCAGTAGGTTTTCAGAATGTTAAACAACCTAAACAATTCTAATTCATCATTTATCCGATAGTATTTAACCAAGAGTTCAAGTTGGAAGTATATCATGAAGAAGATTAGTAGAAACATCGAATTCAACGTCAAAGGATAAGATTAAGAAATAGACATGCACTTTCAGGGTTAATGTCAAGTATTTAAATGTAAATTAAATATTACATCTACATAAATATCGTATATTGAATAGTATGACAGGTATTTAATTTTAATAGTTAATATCATGATTCAGTTGAATCTAGACCACCATGGAAAACTTGGAAGCACTGGACGATCGTTTCGTCCTACTGTGGGACTCCTCAGCAGTGCGCATCCACGATCCTACCTCTCGAGATTCGAACCCAGGACCCATCAGTCTCGCGCGTGAGTGCTCAAGTTAATTAAAATTAACTTATAACCTAATTAATAGCATATTCATTACAGACATAAGATATAAATAAATTACAAAGTTAAACCAGTAGGTCAACAATGATAATTCAAGAAATAAATAGACTTTATCACCGTTAAGTAAATACAATAGGCTGTAAATGGTTTTTCGACTGCATACCTTTACGCATGCTTAACATAAAATAATTAAAGGCGTCCAGGTGATTATGAATCATCAATCTTTACTCAAAACAGTCCTTAAATATATTCATGATGTTAATTAATAAATGGGTGGGTATGCATGTTTAAATATTTACATAGAATTTTTCAAGGGTTATAGGTTGTCTCTATACCTTATTGTAACCTTTTGTTTACTAGTATAAGCTAGAAATGAGCAAAATCAACACAGTTTATTTATGTGTTAAGTGTGAATGAGTCAGTTAGTGAATTGTTCATATGGTCATAATAGAAAAAGGTTAAATATTATTTTCTACTATGAATTGACCATAATTTTAACAAAATAAATGAAAAGGAACGTTAGTTAAGAATTCATGACTGATGTAGTTTGCCTATATCCAGTGCTTCCAGACTTTTCATGATGGTCTAGCTTCAACTGACTCATGATCTCAATTATTGAAAAGATTCAATTAATGATAAATTGAAAAAAAACACCCATTTTTAACTTAATTTTTGTATTGTTGAGTTCTTTTAGTTGAACAATTTAATTAAATGGTTTTCATGATCATTCTGAACAAAATCACTTTCAAAACATATATGTGCAATCATATAAATTGAGTGTTAGGTTAGACAATCATAAATAAGATCAGTTTTTGTGTCATAATTTGGATAGTAACT